ATTCTTATGGTAGATGATTTAGGAGTTGCTGATGTTGGTTGTTTCGGCAATGATTCGCTGAAGACACCAAACATCGACAAGCTTGCTTTACAAGGTGTAAGACTCACTCATAGTTTATCAAGTGAATCTATTTGTACTCCAAGTAGAGCAGCGTTTCATACAGGACGATATGCTGTACGGAGTGGTCTTGCTGCCAGACCTAATCAAGTACGAGTGCTGCAGTACACTAGTACGCCTGGAGGACTTCCTAGGAACGAAACGACGTTCGCTAAAATACTAGCTAACAGTGGTTATTCTACTGGTAAGCTGAGCGAGATTAAAACTTGATATTGATCATATGTCATTTAGAGTGCGGCTACAGGCAGACTGATTGATTTGAAAGACTGATCATGGATGCATAAATTAATTAATGAATTATGACAGGCTTACCAGACTATACATGCTTACGACATAAACCGGAAGTAGCTTATGGATTGAAAAATATTCTTATTGAATTAAACAAGAAGCAAGAAAATGACCTTTTCCTACAGACAAGCAATGTTTCTTTAATTGAGGTGAAGGGAATCGCTTGATATTTGCCATTTAAACACCATAAGGGCCCTTAGGCCTCGTTTCCATTCCTTTGTTTTCTATTGTTCAATTCACATCCAGCTTACGTCGTAAGCATCTATCGAGAAGATTCGGCTCCAGGTCAACCTCGTCCCCAGGGCCATCTCGGCCGACTCCTTTTCAAGATGGCGGTTGTCGTGGAGATGACCTCATCTCCCCGACGACCGCCATCTTGAAAAGGAGTCGGCCGAGATGGCCCTGGGGACGAGGTTGGCTCCAGGTCTCCTATGGCGATGGATTATCGGCCGAACCCCGTTGAAATCTCTTCAAATTAGGCCATTTTCAACATCGATATTTTGGTTATTTTGGGGGGTTATATTCTGGTTTTTAAATTGTATTTCKAAACTAAAAAAACAGAATATAACCCCCCAAAATAACCAAAATATCGATGTTGAAAATGGCCTAAATTGAAGAGATTTCAACGGCTTTTGGCCGCCTGGAGCCGACTCCTCTTTACAGTCTGGTAAGCCTGTGGAATTATTCACGACTTTCCATTCTCAGGTTCAGTGACTACGAACAAAGCATTGAACTGAGGCGTCAAGGAACACTGATCACAGATCTTTTCTTTTATGTTGACTGTACCTTGAAGCTTCGGTTCAATGATTTAATATTCTTGATCAATGAAACTGTATGGAAAGTCGTCAATTCTAATAAGTTCTCTCTTTATTTCAAGGCTTAATTGGTAAATGGCATCTTGGTTTGAATAAGAAATTTGCTAACGACTTCCATTATCACCCATTATACCATGGATTTCAATTTTTTTATGGAGTACCATTCACAAACTACTTTGCATGCACAGTACCATCATCAAGGTTTACCGTACTTGCTTGGATACTTTACCTAATATTACTGGCAGCAGGTCTTACTTGGACAGCTAGTTGGTTTATAAGTAAAAAATCACTGGCATTCCTTTTGAGTACAATAGGACTTGTAGCCTTTATGGTACTTTGTCAAGGAATAAGGCTTAAAAATTTAAACACAGCACTAAAAGGGCAATTTGATTGCTTTTTATTGAGGAATTTTGAAGTTGTTGAACAACCAYATGTACTGGAAAACCTAACAATTCGATTAACTGATGAAGCTATAAGATTTATCAAGCTAAAACATGCATCACCATTTTTATTATTCATGTCGTACTTAAAGGTTCATACGCCTCTTTTCACATCAAAAGCCTTCAGAGGACATAGTGGACATAGCTCCTATGGAGATAATGTAGAGGAGATGGATTGGAGTGTAGGAGARATAATGAAAACTCTTGACCAACTTGGGATAAGAAACARCACATTTGTGTATTTCACATCMGACCATGGCCCAGATTTGGAACAGGTCATMGATGGAGAGTACCATGGAGGATGGAAGGGCCATTTCAAAGGGGGTAAGTAGGGATAGTCATTTGGTAGATCTGGTCATGTGACATTTTAACAATGATTATCATGTTGACTTTATAAAAGCTCAATGATAATTTAAAGATTTCTATAAAATAAAGACAATATTATRAGGGASTGTTCATTAAATATGCCTCAGGGTGGTCTGGAGGAAAAGTCAAAAAGACCTTCAAAAAATGTGCAGCCCCCCTTACTCTTTCACAATGTATAAAGTGATGTAAAATAGCTAGTCTTAAAACTTTAAAAGGAGTCACAAAAAAGCAAGTRAATGCTTATTTAATTAGACTTCTATATGTGGCTAAATGCAATTTAGGTTAAGTTAAACTCGAGGCCTGTTTCCTAGCATGCCTTGCAGCTGCTGGGGCGCCCCATGCCTTGCAGGGGCTYGTTGTGTCTTCATGTGTTGTTGTGCGCACTAAGTCGCTCCTTGTTGTTCTGATTCCCAACCCACCATCGTCTTTAATAAGTATACAATTAGGTAAGTATTCTCAATTGACTMTGTCAATGTGACTTGTGCCAGGTGCCATGGTTGGGTTACCATGGTTACCTCCCGGTCATGTCCGGTGGCRCGCTGGCATGACCAATTTGTGGCACATAWTYC